TCCACAGGTACTTAATCTTTTCTTTTACGCCCCCTGAGGTCCACATGGTGCTACTGCTACGGAGGATCAGCTCTCGTGCAGAGGTACGGACATCTGGACTTCAGGGAAAAGATAAAAGCAATCATTTTAATGAACCAACAAATAAAACAAAAACACGTTAAAGTAACATCTAGTCCTGGGCCAGAATTTGGAGTTTTGAGGGTCGTAAGTGGTCCCTGGACCATGAGTTTGGGACTCGCCAGAATTTGGAGTTTTGATGGTCATAAGTGGTCCCCGGACCATGAGTTTGGGACTCGTGATGTCACATTTCCAAAATAAATATATAATAAATATATATACACATACATATATAAATACATATACTGCAGTCTTGTACTCATTTCCTCCTTTCTTGCAGTATTTGTTTGACGTCACCAAGGAGGTGGACGAAGTTCTGGTCTCCCTGCAGCAGAGGGACATGAAGGTCCACAGGAAGTTCGGCCAAGGAGAAAATCTGACCATTGGATTTGGAATTTTTATGGTAAAAAAAATCATACATTAATTCTTTAAACCTAGTTAATTAATCAGTTAATTAGTTAAAGATTTAAGGAGTAAACTTTCATCGACACTGTCAAAAAAAAGAAGTCAAATGTTTAATATTTTTCTGACCAGTTTTTTTTTTTTTTTTTAACGAGTGACTAAAACCAGGGAGTTGATTTGGAAAGGAATTTGAGTCAAGTCTGGGTCACAGTCATTTTCTGGGTAAAAAGGTCAATTATTTCTATTTTGGCCCTGATTTTTGGTCGAAGAATTTGGCCACGTTTGGACTTTTTAAAGTGGCCGAATGTTTTAAATGGCCGACAGATTGGACTTGAAATGTTTATCAGGAACCAAAGCAGAGCACTTCAACGAGTGTGTAAATCACAGCACTGCAGGATTCCAAAGACTAAACGGGAACAAACAAATCGAAGTATTAATATAATGTAAACAGACGCTGGGTCAACCTTACCCAGAAGCCTTTGTTTTGAACTGTTTGCTGATGTGTCCCTGGGAAACACAGCGCTGCATGTGATGTTTTGCTGTTAGGATGCAAGCTAACAGCTAACAAGACCAACATGCTATACCACCAAGTGCCTCTAGGTTGTCATTTCATATTTGTCAGAAGTCGAAGTCGTAGCTGTGGATTAATCCTGATTAATCAAATGTGAGGAGATTCTGTTGCATTGATCACAGGGTAGCTGTGGATTAATCCTGATTAATCAAAATTCCTAAATATGAAAAAATAAAAAACAAAAACAACCTGATTACCGGGGCCTCAGAGTCCACTGGGTCCAGACTGGACTGGTTTCCTGGACTGTTTAAGAACCGAGGCATCAAACTGTGGCAGTTACTTTTAACCCAGTGACATCACACTCCCCTGAAGAGACATTTCCTCATCAGAGCTCTGGCGCCGTTCACACACACACACACACACACACACACACACTGTTCAGTCTTATCAGAGACAGAAGTGCTGCCAGAGCAGCAATAAAAACCTCTGATGTGATGGTTGTTAAGGACACACAGCTGCGTCTGACCTGGACTGACCCTGGACTGACCCTGGGGTGACCCTGGGGTGACCCTGGAGTGACCCTGGGGTGACCCTGGGGTGACCCTGGAGTGACCCTGGTCAACAGACTGAGAAGATAGGGTGGAACAGTGTTGTCTTCTGTGATGTGATGGACACCAGATGGCGCTAGATCAGAGGAGCGTTAACAATGTCAACGACGTCTAAGAGAAAAAAGATGAAGAAGGTGAAGAGGAAGAAGGAGAGGATACAGGGAAAATATATTTATAAAGGTAAAGAAAAGTTAGGAGAAAAAGTAGAACAACAACGTAAGAAAAGAAGAATTACAACAAGAGCAAAATGTAAAAGTGGAAAGAAAAAAGGAAAAGAATAAGGAGAACGAGAAGAAAAAAATGAAAAATAAAAATAAGAGGAAGAACCAACACTTTGGACTCAGCACCATCCAGAATTGGAAATGCTATTTCTGTAATTTAGGAAAAGTATCCATGACCGTGGCTTCCTGTGTCTACAGCTTCCTGTCCAACAGGTTTGATGGAATTCATTGTTTTTTCCAGGTGGAGTTAAATAGAAAGTATCGAATGCACGACATCCTGACCCAGAAGAACATGTCCACGTCCACCTACATCAACGCTCGGACGGTGTTCATGAGGTGCCAGCTGCCGAAGGGCCGCTACGTCATCCTGCCCACCACCTTCAAACCCCAGACCATGGGCGAGTACATGATCAGAGTTTTCACTGACGTGGAGTCAGGCTGCAGGTACGTGGTCCAAACACCAGGTGACAGACGCTCACAAACACGGGAAATCTTAGAGAGACTCAGACTCAGAGTGTGCTGCTGCCTTCCTCAGCCAGGAGAGGGCGTAAGAGAACAGAAAAAAATTGGATATATGTGTGACATGTTCCCCAAAAGCACAAGTTCAGACAAGTTCAAAAATGTTTATAACGTAGATTGAATATGTACAGAAACACCTGAGAGATGCTGTTTTTAACGCTCTGGTCCTAAAAATGATGAGGAAAATAAAAAAAAAATGATGTTGACATATTTCGAAATGATTAGGTCCTAAGAGACACAGTGGAAAGTCTGAACAGTTTGTTTTCCCTGGCTGTTCGTTTCATTCACTGTTTAAATAACGAGGAGACGCAGACGGTCTGGTCTCATTAAAGACTAAACTACCTGGTTATGTTCATTTTTCTGTTCCTTTCAGGAGCCAGAAAAGCAATTTTGCATAATTGTATTTTACTTTCTGGAGTTTTAATTTAGAACCCCGTCGCAGTTCCTCAAAATCAAAGCCGTCGAAGTCTTATCCCGCTGCCAGCTCCTCATCACTGCTGTGATTCTCCTTCTCTCTCACAGGGAGCTGACAGACGACCAGCCGAGGGTCCGGTGCTGGAGTTCATTCCTGGGTTACCCTCAAGCCGTGACCCACATCTACGTCCACGGAGCCGAAGGACTTCAGAACCAAGATAGCACAGGAGGTCAGAGGACGTTGACCCCACCCCCGAAAACCAACGTTTCACCAGCGTCATGTCCCTTAACACTTATACACGTTGTCATGCAGGTGCAGACCCCTACGTGGTCATATACTGTGAAGGTCGGTCGGTGAAGTCCACCATCAAGAAGGACACCCTGCAGCCGGAGTTCACCACCAGTGCTGTCTTCTACAGGAAGAAGCCCAGAAAACCCATAACTGTGGAGGTGAGGCGGCAGCAGATACTGCAGTAGTAGTACCCGACACTTGGGTAATACTGTAGTAATACCTGACAGTTTGGTCAATGCTTCTTAATCCTGACCTTTTTTCAGCCACGCTAAATATTTTACGTTGAAAAAAAATCTCGTTTCGCACCACCAAACAAAAATGTCCCAGAAAGTATACGCAATAAAATATAACGATCTTCTAGTTTGACTTACAGAGTGTGAAACCTGGGCCTGTTTAGTTGAACATAACCCCAATACACACGCAGGAATTGAAGAAAGACACACACATTTCTCCTTCAGCAGCTCCAAGTGCTTTTCATTTTCATTTCATATTTTTTGTAGCCAAACGCTGCCACCTAGTGGAAGCGTATTACATGAATGAAATATTTCAAACCGTTCTCCGACGTGACGTGTGAACCAACAACCATCACTGTGTCCCTCAGGTGTGGAACAGTAATGCAGTGAAGGACGAGTTCATGGGTCAGGTGATCCTGTCGGGCTCGGTGAACGACACCAGCAACCCCCAGAGGCTGCAGCTGAGGAAGAGCGGCCGGCAGAGGGGGGACGAGATCAGCCTGAGGGTCGTGACGTCCACTCAGCTGACCGCCATATGACCGCGTTCTGGGTCTCGGGTCTGGACTGGAGTTTTGGGACAGGTCCCTGTGTGTGAGCAGAACCTGTATGTATGTTTACAGGTTTTACACCTGATTGTGACTAAGAGACCGAGGGAGTGACCAAAGGTCAGAGGTCAAATGTTTCTTTCTTACATTTTGATACTTTTTTGGATAACCTGTGATTTTATATCAACGTGTTGGTCAGTTACTTACAGAGAAACCGTTGCTCTTTGACATTATTAAAATCACTAAAGTCTTACATTAAAACTTAAATGTTTTAAACCTTTTTTAGTCTTTTTATAGGTGTTTTTTTTTTTTACTTTATGTACGACATATTTTGTATTTTCTCCAGTCATTTTGAAGGTAGTTCACAATCATTGGTTCTTGTAATTAATAACAAAGTGACAACTGTAAATGACTGAAAAGACAAATACACTCACTTGCAGTATCTTTAAGTACTCCGTGTCAGTACTCTGTTGGACTCCTCTGGGTCATTAACCCACGATGTCAGCTGTGATGTGGTGACCTCGGCCTTTTGGTGATTAATGATTCGAAAAAAGGTGTAGTTTGTGTTTCAGCTCCAGACAACAGTGGCGCTCTGTGCTATATATAGCTGTCTTATTCTCCAGTCAAACAAATGTAAGGCTTAAAACTAAGGTTTAAACTTAGTTTGTTTGTGAAATCACCTCATGTGGCAAAATGTTTCAACAAAGTAAAGGATTTGATTTATAACATATAAGTTATATTCACACACAATATTTTTTTTCTCAACTTTTGAACCAGTCTGAAGAGTCAACTCTCGTGACTGGAATCAACTATTTTTTTTTCTAAACAGTAACTGCTGCTCAACATATGTATATTTACCTTTTTTTTTTATTCTTCTCTGTAAAATCAAGATTTTTTCACAGTAAAATCCACCTGTCGGTTGTTAACGAACACGGAATGTTTCATTTTAAAGACACTTAAATGTTTTTTTTATTCTGATTCTTCTTTTTTTTGTGTCTTCCTTTTATTCCTACATGCAGTCTCACAGTAACAGCCAGTATAATTTCATCATCACAGCGCCGACAAACATCATCACAACTCTGTTTTTTTTTCTTCCTCTTTTTATTTCAGTCCAGTTCCCAAACTGCAGTATTTGTTTTTTGTAGTTTTTTTTTTGTAGTTTTTTTTTTACACTCAAGACACAGCCATGCACAATTCAAAGATCAAAAAGTCTATTGCTTTAACCACAATTAAAAATAGTTTATCCAAAACCTTACTTCCCCGGTCAGCCACTCGTCCTTTTTTTGAAAGAAGGGGACAGGCCTGCTGAGGTATGCCAGATGGATCAGCAGTTTTACAAAGCTAGACAATAAGAGTAATAATAATAATAATAATAATAATGATAATATTAATAATAATTTAAAAAGTAACATTTTTTGTCTTTGTTCCATTCTCTTGATACACATTAATAGAGGAATTTCAACACCACGTGTACAGGTTTACACATTCAGAAGATTCAGAAGGAATGTACAGGCTCAACCAAAGAAACGGAGTCCGCCGCGGTGTCTCTAGTCCCAAAATTCACCTTTGTGCTCAGAGTTCACACCTGTACATGGGGCGGAAGGCCCGACACCCGTCTCGACGTCCCTCCTGACAGGACACTCACCCCCCCTGCCCCCCCCCCACCCTCACCCTCACCCTCACCCTCACCCACGCCTGCTGCAGACACACATACAGTACATGTACTAACACTGGTCAGCGTCTCAGGACACACTGTGTGGGCCTGCACACAGAGAGTCCCTCTGTCCAGTCTGAAAACGGGGGGGCGGGGTGAGGGTGGGGGGGGGCAGTTCCAGGAGTTCAGAGACAGCCGGCGAGAGTGTGTGTGTGTGTTTTTTTTTTTTCTCTCTTGTTCTGGTTTCCGAGGGTGCAAAAACATGTATAGGTACATACCATCGAGTTAGCAACCTGAATATTGTCATTTTAAGTTACATAGTTGTTAAAAAAAAGACAAGGGGTGCCGGGGGGGGGGGGTCTTCCTTCATATTTACATCCATACATACACATCCTGCCAACCGTGGCCTCTCCGTGGATCAGATACAGTGTATAGTTGGTTTTTTTCATGCATGAGTGGATCCCGTTGCTTCCTTCTCTCCTCACGTCACGTCACGTCACGTCACGTCACCCGTCGTCTGTACATTTGCTCGTACAAAAGGCAGCTACCCTGCACCCCCTGAGAGTGGAGGAGGCGAGGAGGCATCGTTGAGTGCAGATTGAGGTAGCACCCTACACACACAACACACACAACACACACACACATTCAAACACAAACACACAGAAAAAAAAAAAAAAGCTACGTACGGGTCGACAGGAACAGAACGTGAATGTAGAACACTTCAGAGGAGGTGTGGGAAACTAGGACTGTACGGAAGGTGAGAGCAGGAGGACAGGACTGGCTCAGTTACATCAGAAGAAATGGATGTGTTTCACGGAGTGAGTGAGAAAACCGAGGTGTGACGGTGAGAATCGTCAGTTTGGATTTTCATGGACTGACGACGACGGACATTCGATTCTTTTCCAGTTCTGTATGTCACTCATTTGGTTCTGTTCGTATTCATGGGTGTGGTTTTGTTTCAATGTGTGGGTTTTTGGGGAGTGCAGTAGCTTTTTTTGCTCCCTAGAGGGAGCCCCACATGGACATAATTCTTTTTAAAAATCTTCCTCAATCTGTAATATGTAAATTTTACAACCAACCACATCATTTATCATTAATTTAATCGTCCAAACAAACCTATAATATTTACAGATTTATAAATCAAGGATGACTCCAGGTCAACAGGTGGCGATAAAAAATTTAAAGCCACTTTTGGGCCAATTAGATAACAGACAACGTAGACGTCACTTCCTGTTTTTGTTCGTGATGTGTGGCGCCCCCTGGAGCAGAAACAACACCTGACAGCATACAGTCCTAGTTCCATGAAAACAGAGACAGACAGACTGATGACCTGAGGCTACAGTGTGGAAAGGTAAGGCTGTTCATGCAAACATTAGTCTAATTTGGAGACTACTCACAGTGAAGACTACAGTCTGTGTTGAGATTATTTAGTAGATGATCTGAAGTTTTCACTTGGATTGACGAGTCTTATATGTCACAGCTCATCTTAGCTTTTTTTTTTGTCCAGTTTTGTAGCCAACAGTTGAGTAGTTTGTCATGTCTGACCGTTTCACTTTCACGACTGCAGAGTAAAGCACCAGAAAGACCAAAGTTTTTTCACTAGTTTCACACGTGACACGGTTCACAACATAAGGTGCGAGTACCTTTAGATGTCCTACAGTGAACCTATGAAAAACAAGCTCTACTTTTACATTAATACCAGTGTAGATTTTCCTACAGTACAAGTGTACGGCGTCGGTCACTAGTTCCAGGTCGCAGTTTGTAAATTATGGTCGCATTTTGATACCCATAGATCTGTGGTTCTCAAACCTTTAACACTGCAAACCAACTCAAAGTATTCGTATATCCAAGTACCAAGTTTACAAATATGATTTTTTATTTACTATTTATTTATATTTTAGCCGAACTTCAGTTCAATTCTGGAACCTCACTTTTTTTTCTTTTTCATTTAGTGCAGTACAGTTCACAGGACTGTGTGTACTTCCAGTTTAAAGTTACCACTGCACTTTTTGCCCAAGCAATTTGAAAAAAAAAATCGTGTACCACTAGAGGGAGCATTAGTTGTTTGAGTGCCATAGTTTGAGAACCACTGATTGGTGGATTTGTCTCCACACAACGACTCTGACACTGAAGATGTTTTTTTTTTTTTTTTCCTTAAAATGAACTCCAGATTCAGTCTGGAGGGAGATGAGGTCACATGACATACGAGATCCAAATCAATCACCTACTAAAGGATGGTTAAAGCCGGAGAAGGTCTAGTGAATCCATTCATGACTTTTCCATTTGTAGCTGCATCTCCACACACACACACACACACACACACACACACACTGAGATGTAAGGATCTGCAGAGCAGGAGCAGTGTTTCTGCACAGAGCCGTAGTCATGCAGGCAAAGGTCAGGAGTCACTTTCTCTCACATCAGCTGGTCAGTGCAGGTGCAGGGGTGTCCTGATATTCCGCAAAGGGGACGACAGGAATAATAATGGAGTCCAGAACAGGCCAGGGAAGGATTGGTTTCTGCCATCGTCTCCTCTTCACTCCTGAAGTTTCGTTTGGAAACTGAGCGTCCTTTGTTTTCATTTGTTTCAGCTTTGTTTTTGGATGGAGTGAGCGGCTGCCTCCTTGAACCACACAAAAGGACATAAGGTGATGTTCACACACACACACACACGCACACGCACACACAGGCGGTTGTGATGGAAGGCTCGACACATACAGAGTGCTGGAAAAGTGAAGGAAGAGACAAGGTCTGTTCAGCAGCACGGGCCGAGAGGCTGCAAGGCCAGATGTCTAACCTACACGTGAGGCCTGGGGAGGGGGGGTGTGGGTTTGTCCTTGCGCTGTCGCTATAAGTCACACAAACCCCCCCGTCTAGTGCCATTACCACAGGTCGCTCACCCCCCCCACACCCTCAACACCCAGATCGTGAGTGAGCACACGACGCAGGCGTGGGTGTGGACTGAGGGCACGTCCTAGCGACTGCTGTTCTTTATGGCTTCCTTTGCGGCTACAATCAGAGGCGTCAGGCTGGACAGAGGCTTGGCCAGCTTGAGGAAGGAGTGCTGCAGGAGACAGAGGGAGAACGGGATTATCACAGCCATGGTGATGGTGAAGAACAACCAGTGCAACAGGTCGAAGGCTAATCTAACAACAGTTACTGGAGGGAAAGCATTTCTAACATTTAGCCAAAAGGCTGAGGAGCCACAGGTTACAGAACACTGATCCAGGGTGAAAACAAAGACACTCCTGTGTTCTTACCTGTAGCAGCTCCTTGGCAGACCCTCTGCGGTCCACATCCATTTCCAGGCAGCGGTTGAGAAAATCTCTGAAGACAGACGACAGCCTCTCTGGATTCTGCAGCTCTGGAGTTCCGTTGGTGGCTATCAGGTACAGCGCCTGAGCAGGAGGGTGAGGTCAGAGAGAGAGAGAGATATATACAAGGAAAGAGAGTGAGTACTTTATATGAAAGAAACTGACATCATCGCTGACATCATCCACTCTCTTTTTTCATTTTACCCTGAGAGGATTCTCGTTCAGGTACGGCGGTTCTCCCTCCACCATCTCTATCGCCATGATTCCCAGTGACCAGATGTCCACCTTTGGACCATAGGCCTTCCTCGTCACCACTTCTGGTGCCATCCAGTACGGTGTTCCTACCATAGTGCTACGCTTGTTCTGCTCCGGAGTGATCTGAGCGCAGAAGCCGAAGTCGGCTGCAGAAGGAGACAGAGGGAGTTTTGATAAACGGTTGTTTCTCTTTCCAAAAAGCTGAGTCGGTCAGTTTGATGTCATGGAAGTGAAGTCTTACTCAGCTTGACAGATCCGTCCATGCCCAACAGGATGTTGTCACTTTTTATATCTCTGTGAATGACTTGGTTGGAGTGGAGGAAGTCTAGAGCTTGTAGACACTGAGGAGGGAAATAAGAGAAGAAATAAGGAAAAAGAGAATTTTATCATATCTCAGTCACACATGCAAAGAAAAAAAACCCCAAATGCACAAGTCTTTAAATGTGGCTGCAGCCCAATCCCATTGAACTTATCATGATGTAAGATGCTGATGTCTAAACTTGGCTTCCTACCTCCCTGCAGACTGCAGCGATCTGGCCCTCGTCCATGCAGGTCTCCGTCACTACATCTGTCAATGAGCCGCCAGCCAAATACTCCATCACCACCCACAGCTCATCTCCTACCAAGTAACTACGATAAGAAGAGAAGTAAAAACGGTAAATTAAAACTCACAACCAGAATAAGAGTTGCTATAATTAGGTGCATTTATTTTGGCCTTTTTGTAATGTATTTGCAAAAAACAAAACAAAAAACAAACACTCCCAAAATGTAATATTATAAATTATTTGTTGATAAACAGTGTTATGTTTGTATTTTAATGTCAGTAATAAAATGGCATAATTAATAACCAGGAACATATTTCTTATATTAATATATTTAATGAACGTAAGGGAAATATTTGAAAGATGTTTCAAGGTATATGATGTATGATGTGGTAAATTTTCAGAACAGTAGGTGGCAGTAATGACTACTGTAGAAAAAAACAGCAGAGAGAAGGAGAGAGGGGGGGGGGGGAGGGGGGGGGGGGAGGAAGAGAGGGAGGGGGGAGGGAAGGAAGGGGGGAAGGAAGGAAGGGAGGAAGGAAGGGTTTTTATAGACTATTTCTATGAAGGTATAACATTATTTGGAAAATTAAAAACTCACCTATCCAAGTAGTTGACTATGTTGGAGTTCTTGTTTTCCCTCATCACCAGAATCTCATTGATGATCAGCTCTTTCTTGGGCTGCTGCTGCAGGTTCATCTGCTTAATGGCCACCTGAGGAGACAGAAAAAAACAGCTGTGTAACTCACAACAACAAAATGTGTGAAAGGCTTTGTGAAAGAACAGAAACAAACAGAACGATGTTTCACCTCTTGGCCAGTTGCAATGTCAATGGCAGTGTACACAGTGCCAGAGGCTCTGCAAGAACACATGGAAAGTCAAGTCAGTAATACATCAATGGAGTGTAAAAAAAACACACATAAAAAAAACCATAGAGTTGTTATTTAACCTTTTTAAATTTTATTTTATTTGCAGATTAAGTAATGTAAGCTTTCACACAAGTATATGCATCATTGAAGATGACTTGTAAAAAAAGTACACGGCTAATACTATTAAATCAAACTTAATTTGATTTTATTATCAATTGATGTTAATTCAATTTCAGCTAACTCATTGAGCAGTGTAGCCAGATGCCAACCTGCGAATATCAATATTTTTTAGGAAGTTTTGACGGAATTCTGTAAATTAGAAAGAAAGTCGCTTATTATCAAAAAACTTGGCAACCATGACCGGAAAGGTTTGGGAATTTAGCATGAAATCAATAATCTGGCACCAAGGGGAAGAACATAAGATACTATTGGTTTTGTATATCTATAATTACTATGAAAATGTTAATTAAATTATTAATTCAACTTAGTTTTAATTAAAAAATGACTAAAAACGAAGTTAGTTTATAATTTCATTGCAGAAAAAGGCAAAAACAAAGTCGTTAGTGTGGGTTTACGCCCCTCTAAACATCCTCTTGGTGGAACAGTCCAATATTACTTTCAGTTACAAACTAGATGAGTCCTGGCAGCAGCTACAGGAGAGAGTGGAACAGTCCAATATTACTTTCAATGAGTCCTGGCAGCAGCTACAGGAGAGAGAATTGTTTTGAATTTTAATACGTCGTAGTCACGAAGATAACAACAAGAGAAACTATGAAGAAGGAGACAAAAATCCCGTCGGTTTTCCCCATGAAACCAAAGTAAGTTAAACGGGACACACAAACACACGTCAGCCGTTACTGTGCTTGTGTGGACAAGACGACGTCAGAGCAACAGCTTAAAAAAAGCTTTTAACAAAATGTCAGTGCCCAACATTTATTTTTCCATTATATATAGATTATAGTTATTTTATAAATAATTAGTCTTAGATTACTGAATAAGTATTGTTGTATGTTTATTAACTAATTTAATTTTTTAAATAAAAATAAGCGAATTTATATTTTTTCGAAACAAAAATATGATTTTATCAATCTGAAAATAAACAAACAATAATAATTAGCAAGTTTAATGTTAACATATTCTTTTTTTAACAATATTTAACTATGGAAGTTTGATGGCTTTTTTAAATTTTAGAAACACTGAATAATAAATAGATGTTTTTGAACTACCCATTAATTCGGAATCATGGTATGGAACCAGATATGCAACAAGCCTCAACTGATACGGTTTGTATAAGTTTGTTAAATACTTCCTCTTTCACTGACTTCTTAGCTTCACCTGGAATTTTCTAGAGGCTGTGGAAATCGATGCACCGTCCCTGGTGCTAATGGCAAGACTTATGGTGAGTAAATACACATTTGTCTACTTTTTTGTGTTACGAGCTTCCTGATCAAATTCCAAATGCCTAATTCCAAAGGAATACATTAACCCTGTGTAGATGTGAAGTGAAAAGAGAGAAGGTTAGAAGAGCATCAGCCAGGGGAGAGGGAGGTGGGGAGAGGGAGAGAGAGAGAGAAAAGGCAGTGCTTATCTGGGCCCTTGGCCATTTCAGGATACAGTTTTCATTTCCCCTCATTTAACCTAATACTCTCTCCACCACTCTGAAGTGGTCACTGTAGCTCCGTTAGGCTGCTGAGGGGCGGATGGACTTACCCTTGTCCTATTTTCTCAAAGCGTGTGTACTTCTTTTTAGGATCCCCCACGCTCACGATACTCCCTGAAACAAAACGGACATAAAAAAAATATTTACTGTAAGTGCAGCACATCATGTCGGTCTCCACATAAGAGCAAACCCAGTTACCCAGCAAACCTCAGAGCAGAACTTTATCTCTCCATTTCAGACAGTCTCTGTGTCTAAGCGTATTCATCTCTGCAGTGCAAGTTGGTGATAGAGGCTGCAATTGTATAGGAATTCTAAAGGCAGAGGTTGGCAGTAGATTGAGAAACTTTGCCTGTGATGATTGAGCATAATTTATATAAAAAAAAAGTAGTCAGATTTTGGAAATGAACCTAATGGATGGAAAATGAGCAGAGGAAACTTAATATTGGGTTTTTGAATTACCCTGGTTTCAGTATTTGACATGACTATACACAGTGTGGCAACATTAATGCCACATTCTTTAATTGCACTGAAATTATAATTTTGTATGGTGTTTTTTGACATTGTCTAATCAAAAATAATTAATAATAATAAAATTATTGTGACCACAGGAAACTAGACAGTCCAATTGTAGTTTAACAGATACAAAAACAAACAAAAGTCATTAAAGATTTCATAAATGAAATGCAGAATTAAACATATACTGTTTTTTACTAGGACTTGACCTAGCAACCTTCATTAGCAACCAGATATTGATGTCCATTTTTTAAAAATTCTGTCAATGATTATAAACCACGTACTGAGTCTCTCCAGAATCTCCTCATCTGTCATTTTAGACTTCTTCCTCTGGCGGTCAGTGTGGCGGTACATTGTGTTGGACGTGTTCTCTGGCTCGACCTTTGACTCCGGTGGTGTGACCACTTCTTTCACGGGGGACGGAGGCTTTGGTGGGTCCATGACGGAGCGTGTGTAGATCTGGTGAAAACGTGAAAGAACGGTGTCGGAGACGGTCTAGTGGTGGCGCACGATTTCTGCCATGCAGTGATTTCTCAAACGGACTCACAGATTTGGTGTGCTCGGGCCGAGGTGCAATGACTGGGGGTAGTTCGTCATCGTCATCCTCCTCCTCTTCCTCCTCCTCTTCCTCCTCCTCTTCCTCATCTTCCTCTTCTGACACTGGGGGAGCGATCGGTGGCTCCGTGGATGATGTTTTGGCACCCTGGGCAGAAGAGAAATAAAAAATATGATATAAATTAGCCACAAATTAAAAAAAAAACCCTCCAACCTCCAACCAGCCATGAGCCTGAGAGATGGCCAGTTATGGAAAAATAGGGATTAGTCCTTCACAGAAGCTAGTTTGAAAATGAATATGGCATTAATCATATTGTCAACACACATTTTTATGTTGTAAACTGTAAAAACAAAATAGTAAAACAAAATGTAATTCATTTACTAAAGCATAAGTGAAGAAAATTACTGTTTATGAAAAAAACAACAACATAGCAACTGTTAAAGGAAGCACATGATTGGATGTATTATTTTGGGAAACAGAGCCCACATGTCATAACAGTGTGCTTAAACATCTGACACTCGGTGTTGAAATCTTTGTTAATAATGAAGAAAAGCATCATGGGTCATGTGAGAGCTGGAGTGTGGTGAGTTGGGATTCATCGCAGTCTATCTGAGGGTTTTTTTTTTAAGTTGAGGGTTTGAGTCTGTTGGGTCGTGAACTGCTGATGAAAATGAATGGCTAAAGCTTTTTAAATAAGCGTGATTAATACGTCTTGACACTCATCAATATGCCTGGAGCTCTGCATACGCTTCTCTGATCCAAAGCTGTGCTAGCCTTGGATCATCTTCCTCTTATGGAATGGAAACGTTTTCTTCATTTCCATTTTTTTGTCATGCATTCATGAATCAGTGCAGCTTAGTTGTAGTGATTAAAGAGAGAGAGAGAGAGAGAGAGAGAGAGAGGGTCTGGCAGAGGGAAAGTCCCTCCGCTGCTCCATTCTGACACACAGGGCCTCTGACCTGTTCCAAAGAGAGCTGAGCCAAGACTGCAGTGCAGAAATGAGTGTGTGGCAGTTTCTTTTTCTCTTACAGAGCCATGCGTAAAAAATGTCTCAAACCATGATGAATTCACAGGCAGGTTTTTTTTTTTTTAATGAGTGAATTAAATGTTAAGGGACATGAGCTCATACATGCAGCTGTGACAGTCATCACAACCCTGTGTGACATGTGCCTCTGCCCTGCCATTTCAGACACAGTCCGTTAGAGAAAAGATACATTAACACAGTAGTTAAATCATGGGCCCCAGGGAATTTCAATACAGAGAGTGATGATGCTAACATTAATATTTCTAGGCATTTCTGCGTTCTGCCAGACTTATGCAGAATTAAAAACTAGACTTAAATAGTGGCATTTTTTTGCACAAATGCCAATATATACGTATATAGATAGATAGATGACATGGAAAGTAATGTGGAGAAGTTACCTTGTCAAATAATGCGCTGCAGGTTCTAAGGCTGACAGGAGGCCCAGATGACAGCAGTCGGTTCTGAATGTGAAGGTTGAAAATGGGAGGATCAAAACAAACCCACACAGTGTTTAAGAGTCAGTGGACTTGAGGGAGAGGAGGGAGGAGGGCAGGGGTCTGCTACTGAGGGATGGACATTATGTCCATAATGTTGTCCTCCCAACACGAAGCATGAGGAAGGGACATGAAAGACACAAACTACCACTACAGTGGACTGCACCGACACAAACCCATTATTTTCTTAATGTAATATTTTGATGCTAAAACCAAAGCTTTACACAAAGTCACGGAATGAAAATTTACATAAGTGTTCAGCACTCGGCAAACACACGTACACTCAGATGAATGACTTTTACAGTGCTTAGCCTTGGGCCACCTTTAGATTCACAGGTTTATGATAGAAATAATAAATAATTGTGTATCTATATAGATTTTATTTCAGACCAGATCGTACAAAATTAATCAACCACCGAGGGCCTTGTTAAATATATATAATACAGTATCTGGACTAAAATTATTAATTCCCAAAGTCCACAAAAGACTTGTCTCAGTATATGGCAGTTTCTAGAAGAAGTCCAGAAAGATGTAGAATCCAAGGCAGCACATTTTTTAAATATAGAAATTTAAAAAGTCCTCACAAAATAATTAAAAGTCGTCTCAGTATGATGCATCTCAAAATCTGAAAAAAAAAATCTTCAGCAAATAGAAGCAAATACTATCAACACAGAGAGGGATGCATAGATGCTAAAAAGGAAAACAATAATGCTATTACTTCAATTCAGTGCAGGGAACAACTAAAATAAATAGGATATTTCCTCAATTTCCTCAACTGAAATAAATGGGACAGAAATCATTCTTTTTACCTACAGTTAATGCAATAGGGGCATTTTTCTTTTCCACTTCCCTGATATAAAAATACAAAAAAAGTAGTGTGGAAAAATGTGCAGTGTGGCATTTGAAAAGAACAGCAATGGATGAAACTTACTTAAAGATAATGACAGCAGGTCTTAAATATCAACCATATATTGGAGGTAGGTAAAGGCTGGGGAGTAAAAAATATTTTCTCCAAACTATATTTAGCCCAAGATAGGTTCATATTTCCTCCCGAAACTTGCTTACTTTAATCATTGGCGTGTCGTCTGTAGTTGTGCTGCTCTCAGACCCAGCTGAGTCACCACTGCAGTCTTAGTCCACTGTGAAAGTCCATAACTGAGAGGCCCCCACCAAACTGAACGCCACGCCCACCTGGACTTCACTTATAGAATATTCTTCAAGCAGATATCCCTGCATAAAGGCCCAGTTTGCCTTGGGCTGCAGCCTCCACCCAACAACCAATGGCTTCACTTCCTCATCCTCATCTGGTGTGTTAGTGTGTTCAAGCTATGGCACTCAAAGTTACACATTATACTGTGTTCAAAGGCAGAAACGAGGTCAGCCCAGTAGGAGTGCATCTAGATCAGACATCATGTCCAAAGTACAGCCCGAGGGCCAATCATGGTACATTAACTTTATTCACATCGACCTTTTAAATGAGACAATGTTTTTGGGGGCTTATCATATACGTTTTTGATGTATCTTAATTGAGATTAGCCTAACTTTATCCTGTCTCAAACCAGCTGGGTTTTAATTGGTTCCCTTCTTTTGTTTTGGTAGATAAACCACAATGTTTGGGTTGTAGTTGGTTACTTTTTTGTTTTGTTTTGGTAGATAAACCACAATGTGATGCACTGATATTTTCAGTTTCCCTTTGTTAAATTTTCAGTGATGATTACGGCTCAGATTGGCATTGTGGGATTCCCGTCTGCAACGCCTTTGATTCAACCTAGTCCTCATTCCACTTGGAAAGGCATCCAGTGTTAAAACTCTGCCTCGTCACTGTGCGGACCGTCTCGTGGCCAAGGCGAGAGTGTTTTATTTCATCCTTTAATAAAGAGTAAAAGCCAAACAAAATGGGTACGTAACAAACATAACACTTCTCCTTCATTTACATTATTAACTCTGGCTGCCCTTGAACAACGTTTGGACACCACCACCCCCACCCACCCGGACCCTCCTGCTTTGAGCCTGTCTGTCTGTCTGTCTGTGTTTTAAAAATCCAGCTAAGTAGACTGGAAAACCAAATAGTGAGCGGCAATAAATGTGATCATGCACAAGCTGAAAAACCAAATGGCATGTACGCAAAAACTGTGGGTAATGTCTCGCAGTGAAAAGCAGAAGGGCTCCGAAGGGGAACATGAACGTTTTGCCCATAAAAAGGTTGAAGTCAGTGTGAAGCTAATGTGCTGGAAAAGGGGAAAACCGTCCACCCCAGACTGAATTCCCAGACACAGCGTTTGGAGAGGGTAAAGAGAGGACGATTTACGGTGGTGCAGTCAGAGAGGTATAATTGCAGTGAGGATTAGGACAGTGAATTAAAGTCACATAATGCTGTAACTTACCTGTTAATTTATTACACTGACATATAAGTCATAAAGAACAAACGTCCCTTCATATTATACTAAAGGGGTTTAAGAGATTTTCAAACACAGTGAGCCGTGGCCCAGTCGGTGCAGAGCTAAGAACCAGAGCTGGAAGTGATTTGTAATTGTTATATTTTTTTTACTAAAACAACCACACACTCTCTCATAAACCCAACCGAGGAGCCAGGCTCAGCCGTCAGCGTCATCACGACGGTTTATTTCATTAATACAATCTGTTGGGCAGCAAATGTTTTTCTACGCTTTTAAATATACAGTTTACTAAGGTAGGAACAATTTTACCAAATATACAAAAACAAAAAAAACAAACTCACCAGAGTGTTTGCAGCGATGTAACCATGGGCTGACTTGTCTGTAAAAGGAGGAGAATATTCTTATTGCAACACAAATTTAAATATTTTATTCAGCAATTGTATCTTTAAAAATACTTATTTATGGCATTTTGTAGCCAGTTGTTGTAGGCTGCTCACCTCCAGATGTGAAGCTCATATATTTCTGGTTATTGACGGTCTCCTTGGAGTCGTAGAACTTTAAGACGTCCAGTACAGCTTGTGGGTTCTTCTTCTGTTCCAGCTTAGTGATGTTGGAGGTTTGTAGAAGTCTGGCCCATTGCTCTGGGATACCCTGTGTAAACACACAACAATCTGAATGTAATATTTAGGCCACGGAATACAACAGAAGTGTTGCCCTCAGATGGTTCATAGTGGTTCAGTTGACCGTATTCTCATGGCAGCACCACTTTGAAGTTTTTGCTTATAAAAAATAGATCCAGGATATGAACATGTTTCTAATTCCACTGCTGTGCATCATCGTCAACTGAGATGAATTCAGAAGAACAGCTCCCAAAACCCCGCCATCATGCTTTAAAGTTTTGCAGATGTGCAGTGCTATTTTAGCAGTAAGTAAATCAACATCTGTGAAAGTGAAAATACAACAGATTTTGGACACTCTAAATGCAATTCCTACATTTAGTGGAGAGTTTGATTTGAGCTTCAAATCTGGAAGGTTTCATCCGACAGGTGTGGTCAGATGATTGTAGTTCTAATCATGTATTTTTTTTTTTTGTTTTTGTAAGGGAAATATATATGTGGTGTAAGTTGATGCCATCACCTTTGGGTGATGTGATATTTATGAATGTGTCCCTGGGTTTTACAGTTTTATCTTTTGCTGTTTGTTTGCGTGAATGAAAGTGAAACTCACTGTGAATTCTCCCGTTACAGCATCAAAGCCGACGTGAATAGTGTGTTCAAAGTCTGAGGGTAGGGATATCTCGGGACGCTCCTTCTCCTTCTTCTTGTTTGCTACGAAAAGGTGTAAAAAAATATTACACATTTGGCAAAAAAAAAATCAGCCATTTTGGATGTATAATTCATACAGAGAAGGACACTTACTCTTGTCTCCCCCGGGAAAGATGGAGCGCAGGCGGACCTTCTTGTTTTTCTCTTCGGGAGCCATTGGAAGCGGTTTGGAGGCGTGATTCACTGATGAAGTGTCTCGGGAACTACTGTTCATTCTCAAGGGGGGGGCTGGTGGTTTCTCTTCAATTTCAACACTATCAGACATCTTTAGTGGTACTCACAATGTCCTGTTGCACAGAAAGAGACAAAGACGATAGAGATGATCAGTGTTGGATCAGAAATGGCACAGATGTTGAGGTTTTTAATGCAAAGTACAACTCTTCAAAAGTAGCCGTCCACATCGGAGATACCAGGAACTGGTGTTTTACCAGTACTAGGACCAGAAAACCAAAAACATAGTCAGGACTATCACAGTCTCTACTGAATGTAGATCTATGCAAAAGACTAATGGACTAAAGGAAGGTTCCTAATTTTTGTTTTTTTGTTACTCTGCTGTCTAATATGTTTACATTTTTAAATCTTATTCAAAGTGGACATGTGATTTAGTTTTTCGACATATTCACGTGTTCGCTGTGAACGAGGCAGACGTGTCATGTTTGTGACTCATTTCCAAAAACATGAGCACTGATGAAAGATAAGATGTGTCAGTGTCACACTCAGACAGACAATTCTTAGTTGTGCTCTCAAAGCTTTGGCCTATTTCAGCATCACAACATAAGGGATTGTGTAACAGCAGAACTGACTGCGAGCCTACAAACTTCTCTGACACATTTAGACCCAAAACATGTCTTCTTCTAAATGTAGCACCACAGCCTGTGAACTTTATGTTGCAGAATACGACCGTGACCCAAATCTGACACAAACAAATGCTCCCATCACTCGTTCTTTCATCTTCACCATCTCACCAACATCTTCGACTCTTCCCACTGCCTCACCCCGAGGCCAAGACCATCATGTGATGTGCAGCACAACTGTCCCAGAAAGCCGGGTCATCCCATTCGTCCCCCTTAGTGGAGACCTACATTAGCAGAGAAAGAACCTTCCTTGGCTTTTACGCACAGCACTCATGCTACCCATGTGCCTTTGCAGTGGCCTTCAGTTTCATTTATCCCTCCCCAACACCACACAACATCTGGTTGGTTACACCCTGTCCTTTGTTAACTAACTAAAATAACTGGTTTGGAATGACAGAATTGGATTAGCACAGCGATGTAACACGATAGGAAGCCATGATCTAATCAGATACAATAACAGTAACACGATTAACGAACCAGACCGCTGTGCTTCCCTTTCTGCTGCCTTGAAAAAGATACATTTTATGTTGTACGTATACGTAGTTTACCATGCAGAGTGACTTCTTGTGAGTCAGGAGGCTTCATCTATTTCTGTTGCCCTGACCTTAGGGCAGTAGGGTTTAATGTGTTCCTAACATGACTGCATGTAAACAGCAGTTAAAGTAGTGACCTGCAGGGGTTGTGATCGGGGTCTTTGTTGAGTAAACTGCAACAGTCACAGTGAAATGCAGTTTTAGCTGGAATTTCACCGCTGTCCAAAAGAGGCTGGCTCCGGAAAATCACTCTTTTTATTCCACAATTCCTTTACCTTTTGATTTTCTTCTCAAGTTTTTTTTCATTTCCCCCTTCTTTGAAAGTCCTTTCACAAGTTTCTTTTTTTTCATTTCCCCCTTCTTTGAAATGCTTGCAGTCCTTAAGCTTAGACAATTTCTAAAAAAAAACCTTTGTTGAACTTTTGTTGGGTGAACTGAAGGACCAGAGTTCTCAGCTGCAGGACTTGGTAGATTTTGCTTTCTTACTCATTCTTCTGCCTCTTTGTTTTCTACACTGCAATTACAAGAGTTTTCACACTATTTCAACAAAACCTCCAAATAGCCAAGTCATTTTCTGTCTCTTAAGGATCTTGTATAATGACCTACGGGTTGGGGTTAATCCTGTCGGGTGAGTTTAAGGTGAGAGTCCAGACGTTTGTGGCAAACTGGTTCTTTAAGGGCTGAAGCTAAGGTGTGTCAGTAACAACACGAACCCCTGTGCAAATCCAATGCTGACAAAGGAGTGTCACAATGTTGACATACTAAAGTGACACACAGCTGCTGATTACACAATTATCATGGAAACTACTGGAAGTTGTAGAAGACAAAACAACCTGTACTCAGATTTTAGGGATTACCCTTTTGGTATGACTGGGTGAATTATGCAGCACTTTCTTCTTCAAAAAACAAACAAACAAAAAAAAAAACTTACTAGCGATGCCAACTGTTTCTCCTGCAAATATCAAAACAGTTGACTTTCATCCTACAAGTTACAACAGGCTTTGTATGGTGTCATACTGTAAGATTGATTACCAAGGAAAGGTTTCTGAGTGATAAAACTTAGAAATGCCAAAATCTAAGGTGAAACATTGACATGGGTGGAATATTTTTGCAATTATATATGAAAAACAATAAAAAGTTGAAAAAAAAGTATTCTTATCAAAAAACAGTTTGACTTAGCAGACAATAAATTAAGGTTTGTCAATAAATATCTTAATGATAAAGTTATAATAAAAACCTAAACCTTTATCTATCAATATCAGGATCAGGAACCATTTTGATTCATATTCAACATTGAGGAAAAACAATTTAAATAAATCTAAACCCAACTGTGGTTGGACTGAAGTTAAACCTCAGATTTACCAGATCCTTCATGTGTTTTACTTATAAACTCCCTCGTATTTGTATGTTTATAAATCTGTATTTTCTTTAATCCGTTGCACAGACACATATATCTGTTGTGGCTGGTGCAGCTGTGATCGACGCCTCGGTTTAATCCTCAACTATAATCTCGTGAACACATCGTCACCAGCCTCAGTTTGTCATACACAGATTTCATTGTCACGTACAACAGTGGGTTTCCTGACAGACGCACACGTCACCGGTGAAACCTTAACAAGACTGAGATAGAATCAATTAACCAATCGATCACTTCAACGACTAAACCACAGCAAAAAATAAAAAATAAAGGTGATGTAAAAATGAAATGATGAGAAGGTGACACGCAGTCACAGGGTGTTCAATCTAATAGTTTATACTTTACATTTTTTGGTTGTTGTTTTGGTGATTAGGAGAAAAACACAGAACTGTGTTTATGTGTATGTGTTTCTATGACAACGGGACAGAATGCATTGTCTGTGCAGGGAAATGATCATTGTTTAGTTGCACGGCTGGGTTGAGCAGCAGTGAAAGCTGCACCATTTTTGTTTTTTAATTGGCATTCTGTTATTGTCCCAGGGTTTAATGTTTAATTACAAAAATACCTCAGGCTCTGCTGTAATAGGTTGTAGGAACCATTTCCAGCCGTAAACACGTTTTGTAGCAAGTCTTACATTTCTTATGACGCTACATCCTTTTAAATCATGTTGCAGTACTCTTGTAATTGTTTTGTGGCAAATAACAGTGGAATATTTTCAACCAATCTTCTCTCATAGCTCCTATAAAATTAAATGACTTTTCAAAGTCCAGCTTCTTTAAAAGTAATTTCTCTGGTTTTCTTATCTCTAACCAAAATAACTTCTTGTTTTTTCTTTACCACTTGTAGGAAACAACACAGCAGCCTATACGATTGATCAGATCTCTGCTCTCTCTGCTCAGACCTTCAGGTCATCACTGACAGCTAATGATGAGCATTGATTCACACTAACTTACATATAACACTGAGCCATTTAATGTGTAGACTGACAGACAGGCAATGCATTATATCCTAAACAGGCAGCTCCTATTTCAGACTGATGATAGTGCTGCTGGACGCTTGACCGTTCCCGCAGGCGAAAAAAAACAGAACAACTTATCAGTTTCTCAAATCAGCCAAAAAGCTGCAACAACGATCCACGAGATGGTAATTCAGCCGCAGCAGGATTTGCTCGGGTAGGAGGTGATTTTTTTTTACAGCAGTACACGGCACAAACAAACAAAAAGTGTCAAGTGTTTGTTTGTGGAAATAACAACAAAATAACCACAGCTGAAAAATAACTAGTGATTATTTCACACTTCTTTCTCCATAAAATACAAATTTGTTTATATTTCCTTCAGACATTAATACTGAATTTGAATGAGTATCACAGGAAGATCCTCTAATCTGGAGCCCATGAGAGTTCAGTTATGGCCCCAGCAGTGGGGGGGGGGGGGGAGGGGGGGGGGGGGGTCTGGGTGTCCATGCCACTGATTCCTACCCCCTCTCTGTTTGATTTGGCTGTAGGCTTGGTCGAACGATGCTGATTACTTGGATGGGAGGGACAGCTAGAGGACATTCAGAGGATATGAAGGTAGGGGGCGCTGATAATATACAGACACAGTTGAACATTGCTGTTTTATTCATCCTTTTTTTTTTATTGGTTTTATCGGTTGACCGTCGTTTCGTTCCTGGCGCTGTAACTGAAATGTATCTGCTGTAAAAGCTTCTGAAGTTTACGGAGGCTCCGCCCTTTTTGGTCGCTCACCCTTCCTCAGTAACTCAGTTACCCTGCTTTGCATACAGGTGCCAAACTTTGACTCAGATCAAGTTCGTCCGTATAAAACAGTTGACGTTGGAGCCAAGACTGAAACACAGTCATAGAAACCTATAAAAACTATATTTAAATGAAACTTTTACTGTTTGTTTTTAGGTGAGATGTAAATGTTTTTACATGGTTTTACATGGAGCACCGTCAGGAACCTGCCTTGTATTTGGTGTTTTTTTATGAATTAGTGTGGCATGGGTGGGCAGTGTATATGGGCCAGCTGGAGGCAGAGAGGGAAGTGGAGTTCCTCCTGCTTCACCAGCTGGTGCTCCATCACCGGGTTAAGTCAAAGGGGTTAAAATCGTTGACCAACTGTATCAGTGGGGACTGCACATAATCTTCTCTAAAAAAGAGAAGGTGGAGGTTCTGCATACACTGATGGTGTTTTGTCTGCCCTGCACTTCAGATCTTAGTTCGACATCACTTTATTATGGCTCCTCTAATAAGTATTTATAGAGAAATTATGATTCTACAATAATCTACAAAAGTCACCCCTGTGTTTAAATACGTTTGCTCTGCTTTAGCTGTTTTGAGCTGCTGTGTGTGTGAGACTGCGAATGAGAACAATAGCTGTATCAACAAATGAATCATCATGTCTGCAACTAACAATCGAAGCCAAAGTTGACATCTCTAATGATTCAGATGTGTTGAAAATCTGGACCACGGCCCTTTCACTGCACTAAAAAAAAGGTTTTATGCGGCCCCAGATTCAGGACAGTTAATTTACAGAAGCTGTTCTGTTTCAGGAAAATCAGTTTTACTATCAGTTTATCAGTCACAGTGGAATATGTTTTTGTTCTTAGAGTATGAAAGAATACAGTCTCTTATTTAGACATGTAGAGGCAAATGGACAAAAATCACAAAAATCCAGAAAAAAATTCAAAACCAACTATGAACTGTTTTAGGACAGTTAATCTACAGAAACTGTTCTGTTTCAGGAAAATCAGTTTTAATCATGAAAAACTAACCAACCACACGGCTCACGATATATAGTGCTGTAAGTAATAATCCTATTTAGATGAAAATACAGTGTAAAGCACAGTCTAACTAAGGTTGATGCACTGTTGCTAAATGTTCCATGAAATCAGCTTCGTTCTGGTCAGTCTGACGTCGCCTTCACGTATTATTCTTTCGTAGCTTCAGTCATGGCTAACATACAAATTAGACGCACAAAGAGTAGTAACCCATTTCTAAGTAGCAGCAGACACAGGGTGTTGGATTATGAGGGAGCTGTGTCAATGTGTCAGTGTGTGAGTGTCTTTTTCTCTCTCTCTCTCTCTCTCTCTGCATCTACCGCTCTCGTCCATTCACTCTCCCTTCACTGTCTTAGAAAATGGCCAGATGGCTTCCAATCCTACATGCTAATCCACAGCACACACACACACACACACACACACAGGGATGAATCATTTAACACCTTCAGCAGCACCAGAGTCCTGCGGGGCTCCAGACAGCTGTGTCCTTACACACGTACAAACGCACAAAAACACGGCCCCCGCATGTGACCATCACACATTTATAAACTGTCAGCGCGGCGTCCTCTGGTGATAACTCCGCTTAACAATAGCAGCGTCGCTCACCGGGACTAAGTCCTGAACAGATGGAGGCCTACTTGTGTGTCCTACTATCATATTTCAAGCCAGTCCGGTGAGCAGGGCTACAGGCGAGGATGAGGTTGTGTGTCTGCTGCTTTTGTTAGCGAAGGTGAGGAAAGAGTAGCTGTGTGTGTTAGGTTACACAGGCCAGTGGAAAACATGGGGAAGCCCAGACCAGCATAGACTCACACATGGCTGCAGATAGTACAAAAACTCATATTGGAGGTGCCAACTGGTTTCCCTTTAAATACAGGTGTTGGGATGAGAATGTGGACTAAACAAAAGCTGGTTCATCTGTGCACAGTTGAGAGTAAGAAGGAGGAACTAATGATGAATTATTCAGTAGTCATTTGGACTGAAGAGGGTATTTAAAAAAATGTATAATAAAATATTGAAATCTTGCCATTTGGAAGTCTAAAACATGTCCCACGTAAGAGGCTCGGAAATGCTCTAGTCTTTGCAGCTGGCAAAGTTAATCTAGTTAGCATAACCGCTAAAACTACAGAGCTGGAGTGTTTCAATATAACTATTCTTTTACCCAAATTAACCTGTTAAATCCCTATTTTTATTTTACAGAAACTCTACGATGAATCGATGAATCATTTAAACACTTAGTACGAAACACGGTGGTAATTCAACACTCCTGTTTCGTCTCTACTCAAATTCAGGAGCCTAGTAAACGTTAATATTAAAACCATGTAAGTACATGTGAGGGTAAATGTCTCGTTATAAAGATCACACCACGGTTGCAAAAGTACGGCTAACCGTTGTTGTGTCGTCATAAAAGTCACGTCCGTTTTGGAAACACTCGCTTCAAAGCTGAGCCACAATAAAGTTAGATTTTGTCCACAGAGCAGCTATTTAGACTCCAAACTGTAGAATGTGCTTTCAGTTGTATATAGATGTATCTGAACGGGAAGTACTCTGGACCTGTGACGTCACTAAAAACGTCTGGTAAATTAAATTAAACTCTGTTCTGTTCCACTGTATTCTAATCAAGTCGTTTCTATTCTTTTTCATTTCACTCTCTTCATAGAACCAGCACGGACGACTGTTAGCCTTCTGGGCTAATTAGAGAATAAGGACAGGATATATGTGAGTGGATTTCTTATCTAAAGGTATTTTATTGCATTTATTCCTTGAATGTGCATTTTTTTGTTTTCTGTTTTCCTCCATTTTCTGCCTCTCATCTGCCTACTTTTAGCTTTGGCCAAACAATTTTTTTTGTTTTCCTCCATTTTCTGCCTCTCGTCTGCCTACTTTTAGCTTTGGCCAAACATGTTTAAATCTGGTTGAGTTGCAGCTGTATTTGTGTGTTAGATGCTGGTGAGTTTGTGTTTAGTTTACTGTAAGTATCACAGGAGACGTTGGCCTTTCAGTTCTTTTGATGGTTTCCAACATGGATCACGTGCGGGCACTGGTGTTGTAACTGGAGACCAATTATCCAGCTGCATTTTCACAGATCCGTTGAACGGCAGGATCAATAAATACCACATGAATTCAGCCCAGTGATATATCACAGCTTTTTGGTCTCTTGAGTTTCTGCCTGCGTCTGATTGGTCAGCTCTCTTTTCTTTTCTGATGCTGTGTTTTTTTGCAGCAACTATTTGAACAGCGACAGAATTTTACACTTTAGCTGATGAATTATAATTATTATTATTATTAAATGAGGGAATGTTAAAGAGAAGGCATGGTGCAGTGGTAACATTGCTGCCTCTAAGACGTCTGCGTGAGGATGTGAACGTAAGAGACGGGTGTAGCACCTTCAGCATCCCATCCCCCAGTTCCCCTCTACATTCATCTCGTCCTCCCTCCATCACTGACACGACTCCTCAGCATCCCTCCCTTCACACTGAGCCAGACAACAGGTCTCCCATCAGGCACTGCTCCTCGCAGACCTGAGGATGACTGTGCTCCTTCAGAGGAGGATCTCTCATTTCCTCCACATCGGCTCTGACAGCACAATCCAACGGCACCGAGGAGGCACATATTCAGCTGCCGCTGTAACCCCTTCCTCCATCCTCCTCCTTCTCCTCCTCCTCCTCTCCCTTCTCCTCCTCCTCCTTCACCACCAGCAATGGCTGTGGAAGGATCCGAGGCGGAATAGCTCAGCTTTCACCCTACCGGCGGCCCCCACCCCCACTCCGATCCCAATGAAGTCAGGTGACCAGATGTTGTATATCTCCCCTGTCACCGCGGCCGCCATGAAAGAGCTCCACACATCCATGTTGAAGCCAAGAGACAGAGTCACGTCTCTGTGTGTGTGTGTGTGTGTGTAGGGCAGTGAAAAAAATAAAATAAAACCCTCCCTAGAAAGGCCAAATGTGAAGCAGTGCAGAGATAACAAAAAAAGCGTCCATCAGCATATTAACCATCCATCACCCCCGCCCCGTGCACGACACATCCCGCTCAGATACATCCATCAGCCTCAGGTCCAAAGACCCTAAAATAGCTTGGCTTTGTTTTTTGTGAAGCTAATGCAGCTGCTGCATTTCTCTGGAACTCACACACACACACACACACAAGGCCTGAACTAACGGCACCATTGATTCCAACACCTCCCCGTCAATAGATGCTATGTGTAAGACACAAGGGAGTACATACAGAGATGATGTGATGCAGAGGGGGGTGTTTGGTCATACAAAACATGTCCAGCTCATCTGATGCAGGCGTCCATTTCCATCTCGCCCTCACCGACAGACTGCTGATGAAACAGCTGCCTCCTTGGCAGGGCAGAATGAAAGAAGAGGAGGAGGAAGAAAAAAAAAAAAAAAGCTACAAAGCACCCCTACATACATAGCCTCCCCCTCTTCCTCTCCCCCCTTCCTCCATTCTCCTCCCTCCTCTGCCTCCCCCCCTTCACATTCCTTTCGATATATACACACAGAGAGGGTATTACCTGAAATATGTCTTCACATTCTCTGGCTGCGTCTCTCTCCTGTGAGCCCCGAGCTGCCGCAGCTTCATCGTCGGCTGCACTACACACAGTTTAAAGGCAGGATTGCCATTCGCTTGTCGGACCAGTTCCTGACCCTAAAAGCAGGCTTGTTCGGCAGGCTGGATGCTTCACTGGCTGCTCACTGTTCCCTAGCCCATGATGTCATCCACCCAGCTCTCCCCATTGGCCGAGGCGCTGAATATTAATGCAGGCAGCGGGTCTGGGGGAGGAGGCACTCAACGGCCAGACAGGGTTGGTTTTTAGTTTGACAGACCCAACCTGCTGAGTGGGAGGGACGGGGGAGAGAGGGAGGAATCACTTTAACCCTTTTTTTTTTTTTTGTTATCCTTAAATTATTTTTTTTATCCAAAGGAAACAGCAAGACGTTATCCTTAAATTAATTTTTTTATCCAAAGGAAACAGCAAGACTTGCTTGGGTTTCTCAAAGTCAAAATGTATTTTTTATTCGTTTGTCTTGTCATGGAGTGAGGAACAGGACGTTTCTTTTGGCTTTAGTTGAACTGTATGTGCATGTATTTATAGATTAACATAAAGTAAAACTGGTGCAAAAATGTCACAGATGAAACTTCTTCAATTTTATAAGGAAAATCTGTCATTTTATGCCCAGCAAGTGCTCACGGAGTCCATTCTGTTCTGAGAGCAAAGCTGTGAGGAAAAAAAGACACAGTCGGTGACGACAACCAAAACCCCAGCTGCATTTGCCCTAATTTGCCTATGATGTCATCTTTTTCCCCTGTCTCACCTGTGATTGGCTGACTGTCACAGCATCTGCTCAGTCTCATGGCTAGTGCTTTTTAGCTCAAGGTGGAGGCTCGTGTGTGAATCATGACTGGTTGTCCTGACAACTCGTGTGATGTCGATGCTCTACATGGCTGTTGTGTGAGGGTCTGTACTACGAGGAGACAATGACAATCATGTCATTATAAAAACGGGGGGAGGGGTGGACTCTGGGACTCGGAAAATGAAGGGGGGGGGGTTGAAAAATTGTTGTATCGGGAATTAAAATTTTTTGAGTACATTAAAACAACCCTTTCAGTATTTATATGAAAATGTCAACTCCCAAAAAACTCTCTTTAGACCGAGAAGAAACAAGTAAAAAAACAAACAATTATTACCATCCAAAAACAGTGTTGCATTAAAATCATACAAACAAAGAAGAACAGAATGTGTTTTCAAATGGTTAGGAATCAGACCACAGTGTTAAAGAAGCTATCGTCAGATCACACGTTCAGCGCCGGTGGTTTCTACATCGTTGCAGCATCTCACGCTGAGCTTCATTGACACATTTCTTCTATTCTGTGTTTTTTTTTCTCAGAAATGTTTCAAATTGACATGGATCGTTGCAGTAGAAAAGACATTCAAATGGACATTCTAAAAGATGAAACCCAGAATTTCACACACACGCACAGTTGCCTCAGAGTACAGTGAAAGGAGCTTCAATTATTTACAGCATCCTCTCACACACAGAAAGAGAAATGCTAATTCAATTCCAGCTGTGAAGTGTCACATTAAACATTTCAGACTCAGACAGCTGACAGCTCCCCGTACGTTTACAAAGACCAAGTTAAACGCAGTTACTGCAGAGAAATGTTGAAATGATTTCTTTTTTTTGGAAGCAAAACTGCAGCAAAAACCCACATCTGGGTTAGGTTTGAGTTCTGAGAAAGGTTTTTTCTGTTTGGATCTGAATGTGTTTTATTTGTCGGTCAAAGTTTTAAACAGCAGCAGCCACGGTTTCAGTCTTTTTTCTGTTCTTTCTCTCCCCAACATGTGACTCAGGGAATTAGTAGTCATCATCAAAGCAGGCTGACGAAGAGGAAACACCCGCTTTGGTCAGCTGTTCCTCACAGGTCTAACACACGGAAAGATAAGAGTACTCCATGGTTGTTGTTGTTGTTGTTGTTGTTGACTTAACTGTTTATAATGATGTAAAAGTTTGCATAAGGGTTAGCTAAGAACAAGTTAAGAAATATTATTCCTTAATGTTTTTAAGGTAAGTGTTAACCATTTGAGTGTAAAGATACACTGGGTTTTCCAGTAGATTGATACAAAGTTGGTCAAGATAAATCAACGGGGTCAAGCAGAGCTAGCACTTAACCATTAGCATGAACTGGTGAAAAGATAGTGGAAAATCTGCAGAGAGAGAGAGAGCTAAATATTAGCTGGAAAGATGGGCATTTTGATTATTTTGGTTCCATAGTGTAGCACGCCTGCCTTGCAAACAGAGAGTCCTGGGTTCAATTCCCAGAGGTACCACATACACGGTGCCTCCAGGGGGCAGCCTGTTGCAGCGGCTATGCTGTTAATGCAACAGTTTCCCTAGTGTGGGATCAATAAAGTTCAGATTATTATTAATTTGTCTGTGATAGACAGACGTTGAATTTATCCAGTCTTTATAGAAAACACCACGCTTGGTCATTCCCAACATTTAATAATTGCTCCACAAATCATCACAAATCCATGGTAAAGTCTTCACATTGGTTAATAGCCCACCCTGGTGGTCACAACAACTTGAAGTGACTCAGATCCTGATTCACTGGTACTGTACCATGGGCTGCTGTCAGTGCTAAGGTTTTTATAATGAATCCTATAAATACCCGTGGAGGCAGAGCAAGTCTCTGTGGTGACATTTTCGTAAGGACCGTGATTTTGCAGCGTACATGTGGCGTACGGGCTGGGAACTGGTCACATCTTTGGTGTCACCTTGGTATCTGCCATTCCTGCCCTGGTTTTAGACGTCAAGTAGAGCAGTGTAATTAAAGAGAGATGTGTCGGAGATGTGGGATTAACGAGACAAAAGTCCTCTTAGTCAAGGGCATCGACGGTCGGCCTTTCAACAAGTCAGATGCTGCAGAAAACATTTGGGAACCATTCGCTCACAGCAAGGTCACTGGTTTAAACCCAGGTGGTTTTCACATCCTTCACGCCCAGTACTGATACTGGACTAGTTCTCTAGGTCACTGGTTAGTCTCTTAGGTAGAAGATGAATGAATCACTACTTGTTGTTTTTTAACCATTTGTATCTAATGACAATAACACTGTCGTCCTGAAGGTAAAACCAAGAATCTCAAAGAGACAATTTATTGGTTTAAGGCCCAATAATTACAGTGGTGATCAATCATTACTGCATTAACCATAATCATATTATGGTGAGGCTCAGTGTGTCTATAGATACAGAAGAAGTAGAGAAGAGACAGAGAGACTTTTAAAGTGAGGTTTGTGGGTGATTTCAACTCGAGGTTTGTCGGTCCTGCGTCTTTGAGTTGGGATGAAATAAAGTCTTTTATTTTTTAAAAAGTCAAAACATCCATTAAAAAAAAAACCAACAAAAACTGAATGATTTCAGCCTTGAGAACAACTAAAACGGAATAATTTCAGCCTTGAGAAAAGGTGTGCAGAGTTCTGAAGGTACGTGATGAACTACGGTGTATAAAAGAGCCATCGTCAGCACTGATCGAATGCAAATTGAATTAAAAAATATATTATGCGTTTGTAGATGAGAGTCAAGGCCAGCTTAGTCTGCAGTGTCAACTAACAAAGCAGGAACATGAAGCACTTCACAAGGACGTCACTGATGCTGCAGCCAAGAGGCAGCAGAAGAAGAGCCTCGCTGAATGTAAAGCAGGTACAGGTGGAGGTTGGTGGAAGGATTTATTTATCACACGTTTATATTTGATATTCTCAGAGTCCTAACTGGCCTGAACAGAATGAGTGGTGTGAGGCGGGATCGGTTCCAGTGACAGTCGTGTTCTGGTTGGTGTTGTATTTTACTACAGCGTGTGATCTGAAGTCGTCACACATAAACCTGTTAAAACCTGAGTCTGTTAGTGTGTGAAGACTGTGTAGCGTTCGCCATCACAGCCCGTCACAGTAGAACCTCTTAGGGTAACACACAGGACCAGAAGTACCGGCCGCGACAACCCTGGTTTGAACAGGCTCCTCCCACTGACAGCTGGTTTATTGTGAACTCTGCCAGGAGAGCGGCCTTGTTTCCCTCTGCTCAGACAGTTCAATAACTAATTTCAATGCAGCCAGCAGCATGAAGCGGTGAAAATGAGCAGAGCTGCTCCGATGGAAAGTCGTCATCCACTCGTGTGCGTTGTTGGGTCGAGCGGGAGACGCAGATATGATACGTACGCTGGTGCCATGTAGGATTTTGAACAGGATTTTGAACAAATTTACTCTGAATATTTTCTTACTCTGAAATAGATTTACTCTAAATATTTTCTTACTCTGATTAGTCCACGCCTTTTCGTTCATTACAAGCTTCATTATTTGGTTTGCAGTCAGTTTAATTATATTAAAGGTTATCGTAGCTTCTTCGCAATTATCCTAGCCTGGGCTGCAACTGACATTTGGTTGTGTCAGCTTGTTTGGCCGCTAACATAATGAACCCCAGAAAGGCCAGCTATTGTGTGGTGTCAATCATTCAGTTAATGCATGCGTCTGTCACGTAACCGACGCAAATCTGATCCAACTCAGACGAAGAGGATGTTCTTCAACGCGGCTAATTAGTTTAAGAAAGACGAATCTTCATTCGTTTCTCTAATATACAGAGCAAATCTTGTTTGGGTTTTTTATCTGTTTCTCTAATATACACCACAAAAAACAGGGAGAGCAAATCTTGTTTGGGTTTTTTATCTTCTTATAAAATTAAAAGTTTTTTGTTTTGTAAAAACTGATGCCAGTATCTCAGAATTGCTTGTTGACCTTTCCTGTCACCTCTCAGCCGGTGGCTCAGTGTGACATCACACACTCCTTCCACCCTGGACTCAGAGCAGTCCTGTCCTGATGTTCCTGCACAGAGGGCACGCGAGCTCCGTCACACGTGTCCTAACAAACGGCAGGCTCTGGATGGACCAGCCCTTTTGAGCCACAGCAACCGTGTGGACTCGTCACTTTCTGCATGGACACACGCAAACAATGGAGCACGTCTGGAGCGCTGGGGGCCCAAACCCCGAGGAAGGGCAGATGGTCTACGAGATCAAGGACCAAAACTGCTATTAACATGAGAAAAGAGGCAGATAGAGGCGGGGGGTGAGCAGGTACCCCCGCTCCGAGACCCCTCTTCTGCACAGATTAGAGAGGGCGGACTCATTTACCCAACACAGTGATTTCAGATCCAATTATTGGGCAGCTGTCAACGCAGCAATTAATAACAAAGAGTAACGATCATGGTTCATTTCTACAGAAACATAAAGCTGCAGTGTCTCATACTGAGGTGTGGAGACTGTAGTGCTGGAGCTGTTGTGGCTGGTTTGTTTCTTGATGTTTTAATGATTACAAAGACTGAGACATATACATTTTTCATGAAGTATTTTTTATTATTATTTTTATTTTGGTCTCGCTGAAAATTACTTAAAACATTTTTTTAAACAGAAATTAGACAATTATATATTAAAATACTGTTATTTATTCTTCAGATTACTCCAGACTCTATTTATCAACCACGGGTCTTTTTCTTTGTGGAAAGCATGTTTGATTACCATGTTTTTACATGACAATAGAACATCTTTGAACAAACACTGACCATATGTTGCAGTTCATGCTTAAACACCCAGATTTAACTAAAGTAATCCCACAGATGTACAGTACGTACACTGTTCTAAATCATAATCATTTGTGGGGGAGAAAAAAAAAGGTTGTTATAATGTATTGCATCAGCTACGCTGTGGTGCAATTTTTCATTTTGTTTTAGTTTACACCCAGTGTGAGGTCTTTGTTAATTGTTACAGAGCTGAGCTACACTTAAGACTTGAACAAGAAAGTGTTGACATATCGCTGGAAGCCTGCTGCCTTTTCAAAACAAATCTCTCATGTTGTCACATCTGCACATTTCCAGAGAGGCAGCCTGTCTCTGGGCAGTGTGAAACTGCTGAGGTGTTTGGACTCATTATTAATGGCCGCCACACACTTGGCAGTCTGAAAACTCTGTACAAATAATATGTCTCTCTTTATTTAACTCTGGTTTATGATTATTGTTATTATTAATATTAATATTATTTAAAAATAACCCGATATTTGGAGATGTCTAAAATGTAACTTTCCGTTTCATTTGACAGGATTTAATTAAATTAATAAATGTTTCATTATATCCAATCAAATGTCACTAGGGTAAGAAAAGAACATCGTTTTGCAATGGGTGTCACTACAGCCCAGCCGGAATGTTTTGTCTCCCCCTAGTGGCGTACTTTAGTATTGATATTTAAACAACTTTTTTATTATTATTCAAGTTTATCGTTGTCTTTTGTGGCGAATAACAAACGTCAGGTGTTTGGGACAAATGTACCAGAATAAGTTATCTTTCAACTGGTGGTCTCTGGGCGTAGACCCTGGACTACCTTTTACTCAAATGTTTTTTTCCATGGGAATTGCAGAGTTTGTGGAAACCAGTTGTTTATATTAACATTCGTTTTCACCAGTTTGGAAATATGCTTCAGGCTAATGTTGATACTGGAGTGGTTTTATTCATGTTAATAAGTAAACAATGTTTTCTATAAAGGTGTAATATCCGATATCATTCATATTTACTCTGGAATTTTGCAGAACAGGTGTCTTTTCTGTCCTGAGGGAAAGGCTGCACCCTTCAACAAAGGTATAAAAAGTGTTAGAAAATTATACTGAAGATGAATTTTCAGTTTTCACACTGAATGACCTTCATTCTTGAATCAATCCAACAATGGATTTAGGGACTAGCTCAAAAAAAAAAATCAAACATATATGACAGTGGTTGAGTCCAGTATGTTTTGTGTCTTTAATCCTTAATTACTCATATAACTCACTCCAACTAGTACAGACATAGAGGTCAAATCTGGCATGTCTCACAACATACTTAAAAAACTTAGAGAGGAACTTTTAGGCCATTAATTTTTTATAAATTTTATTATTATTTATTTCTGTTTGTTTTATATTACAGAGCAGTATTTTTAATCAGGAATTCCCGTTTTAAAAAAAACAAACATACAATTGACAACGGATGTCAAACGAATAATGACTGTCGGTTGTAGTCTTGGTTCTAACACAGACGCCGTCCTCTCATCACCACCTTGCGGCGGCCAGTCCCAGGTCTGCGCCCGTGGAGCTCATCTTATTGGCCTTCATTCAACCAGGAGGCCGGATGCGCCGCCATCGTACCGATTTTATCGGCGAGTAGAATCGTTTATCCACCAACCTGGCCGAGATCGGCTGGACTGGGGAATTCGACTGGAATTGAAGTGGACTGGACGGGGCTGTAAGTGACGGCTCGCTGTTGTTAAGAGCGGACACGGAGTGACGCCATGTTTTCTCGCGTTATTTGCCGCCGTTGATTCTTGCATCGATGAAGGTACACATTGATGTGTGCGGTGCTAACTAGGCTAGCGCTAGCCTGAGTGCGGGGCAGTGACAGTGCGGCCGGAGGCGGAGCGGCAGAAGCAGCAGTAGCACAAACTGCGAGGAGGTGAGACTGTTATTTTGATGGTGACTACACTGTTTGACTGCAAGTAAATAGGTCTCTATTCACGTGGTAGCGCGGTTGGAATGTTTCTGAGTCACGATTAAGGATCGTTAAACAGCGACACGTGACTTTTATGACAAACACAGCGCCTTAGCATCAACGCAGGAGGCGAACGTTTAATCGACGTACGCGAAAGAGAAGCTAAGAGCTAACCTGCTAACTGTCCAACACTGAGGGAGGGAGGGAGAGAGAGAGAGAGAGAGACTACCAAACTTTTTAGGTCAGTACCCGTCGTGAATACACTCTGCAAATAGCAGATATCTAGAAAAATACATATATTTATTTTGTACCATATTCGGGTTTTTTTTGTGTCCACCGTATTTAGAAAACGATGGTAAAATAATGCGTGGATCCTGATGTTAATTTCAGCTGACACGGTGACCCTGTTTCCCTAAATTGTCCCTGGAGAATAGGAGTCACTGCGCTATAAGTCTGGATTATATTGGTGTTACATTGGACTTATATTTTCTATTTTTAAAACAAGTCATCGGGTTTTATTTTGTTATCTTAATTTATAGGATTCTTTAGCTTTGGCTGAAAATCTGTGTTAAAATCTTTAATGAAAAAAAGTGTACATTTAACAAGATTTTATTGTTAACAAGGCTGAAGTGTTTACAAAAAATAGTTACAAGTTTGCATTTCTTCCTTGTCCTTTCCATTCCAGCTTTTATTTGTTTTTACATTACCAACACTGATTTATTGTGTGTACACTGACAAAACATTGATAGAGTAAAACAACTAAGTTGTGTAATGTTAATATAGACACAAAAGGTTAACATGTGGCTAGAATAGATAGGATTAAAGTTGAATAAATATGTTTTCAGAGAACTACCAAATAGTCTTTGACCAACTTAAAGCTTTTTAAAGGCTGATTTTAACTGTCTAACTCTTATTTTTTCAGATCCATGTAATTTCCATGTCTGAAAACCCTGAATAAGAGATGTCTGTTGATGAGGATACAGTAAAAACTGGCATTCCACAGGCCAGTTCTGCTTCATGTCTGCAGCCCCTGGATTGTCCCGGGGGTGATATATCTGTGATGGTGGAGGGGGCAACAGCCACCCCTGACTTTGTCGCTGCCTGTCCTGTCCCGGGCACTGCAGCGTCACCCAAACACACCAGCACGACCGACGTGCTGAGCCGTTCAGACAGTACTTCACAGTCAGCCAGAGAGAATGAGCTCAACACCAGTCTGAGGAACACCTTTAATAATCCCAGACAACAGCAGCAACAAAACAAACTTGCAAAACGACGCAACACAGCCAGTTATAGTTTCAAGCATCCAACGTCTGGCAAGAGGCGACGAAGGGCCAACTCTGAGAGTGACTCAGTCCTCCCAACCAACTTCCTTTTGGGAGGGAACATTTTTGACCCGCTGAATCTCAACAGTCTGCTGGACGAGGATGTGAACAGGGCGCTGAACGCAGAGACGCCCAAATCCTCCCCACTGCCTGCAAAGAGTCGAGACCCGGTGGAGATCCTGATACCCAGAGACATTACAGATCCACTGAACCTGAACAGTGGGATAGCCGGCAGAAGCTTCTTAGCGTCCTCCTACAAGGGCGGTGGCAGGAAGAGGCACAGAAACAGACACCATGGAGGAGCCGCCGCCGGTGCCGGTGGTGGTTCTGTTGGCAGCTCTTTAAACACACAGATCAGTTTCTCAGAATCAGGAAGAGGTGAGGTCAAATCTGGCAGCTGCTCACTGCTCCCTGGCATGTCGGCCTCCTGTTCTGCACTAGACGTCTCCAAAGAGTCGGACAGTTTCTCCAGTGTCACCAGGGAGTCCGTTGACAACTCCACTGACAACTCGATTGGCTGCAGGGAGGAAGCGTCGTCTGTGTCCATGGATGACTCTGCTTCGCTCATAGCGGGAGGACCAAACCATCACATAAGTAAACGAAAGCGCAGGCGCAACTCTGGCAAGAGTGAGACTCCCATGACCCACTCTACCCCTATTGGAAAGTCCGGACCCGGAGACAAGAGTTTTGGCAGCGGTGGACAAAGATATTCACAGTCGTTCCACACACCCAGAAGTAGTTGTAAAACAGTGTCAGGGGGCCGTCAGCACCAGCAGCTCCACAACCCGACGAAGGAACAACAGAAGAAGTTCCAGTACGGGAACTACAACAAGTACTACGGCTACCGCAACCCCGGTGCCACTGAAGACCCGCGGGTGCGTTTATTTCGCCCTGAATGGTTTGAAGGTAAAGATGTTCTAGATTTAGGGTGCAACTCAGGCCATCTGACACTTTATATCGCCAAAACGCTCAGACCTGCTCGCATATTAGGTCTTGATATTGACGGCGGTTTGATACACGCCGCCCGGAAAAACATCAGACATTATCTCTCTGAGCTGCAGACACAAGTGGCCCGACGTGCTGGGCAGGAGAAAAAGAGCACTCAACAGGAGGAGAGGAATGGACAGGAGAGTCAGACGGGCACTGAGAAGGAGCGGCGCGAGGAAGAGGATGAAAATGGGAAAGCAGTGAAAGGAGAAAGTGGCCTCGCGGTGGAGGGAAATGACTCTTATCACACAGATGAGGCAGAGGCCCAGAGGCAGAGCAGCAAGATGGAGGAAATGGAGCAGGAAGATTGTGATTCAGGCACCGCTGATCACTCCGAGAGCTGTTCTTTTCCCATGTCCCTACGCATCTCCAGGGGGCCCATCGCTGCGCCTCCTCTAACAGAAACGTTCGGCACGCGACCTGGGGAGTTCCCCTCAAATGTGTCCTTCATCAAGGTAAGCCTGCGGTTTCTGCACAAACATCTGATGCTGTGTGCATCACGTTGCTATGTTACTGCACCTCAGGAGTGGGGATAAAAATAAGTTCAACTGAGTGTGTTACAGTTTAAGACTGCTTCTGTTTTTCTGCTTTGTGTCTGGAATGTTTAGTATATTTATGGAAAAAAAAGAGTCAATGGAACAGCATTTGAAGTGACATGATCGGAAAAACCTTGGTTATCAGAAGCATTGTAATTTATTATTCAAACATTTATTATTTTTTTAAAATAGCTGGTAAGTTGTCCTATCTTTATTATTATTTAATTTATATTTTATATATGTCTATATACTGTATATATGTATATATATATACATATGTGTATATGTGTGTGTATATATGTATGTATGTATATATATATGTATACAGACTGTGTGTGACACTGTGCAGCTGTAATGATGAAATAAGGTGCAGTGACTGTAGAACAGCGGTGCCCGGGATCTACCAGTAACCTTATTGTTATATATATATATATCAAAAGGGAAAATGTTTTTTACTGCTCTGGCGTCGAGTTTATAATATTAAGCTGCTGATGTGGTTTATTTCCTGTAGTCTGTGTGATGCCAACTCCTCACTTCTTCTCTTGTCTTACTCAGACAAATTACGTCCTGGACAACGACGATCTGCTGCTGACTCAGCGGCAGGAGTACGACGTCATTCTCTGCCTGAGTGTCACCAAATGGGTTCACCTGAACTGGGGAGACGAAGGCCTCAAACGTTTCTTCAGAAGAGCCTACAAACACCTGCGTCCTGGGGGAATGTTCATCCTGGAGCCACAGCCGTGGAAGTCCTACCTGAGGAGGAAGAAGCTGACGGTAAGACGACCAACATCACGTACCAGCAGTCAGTGGTTCACACTGGAGGAGATTCGTCTTTCACTCTGTTCCGTCTTTCGTTCAACAGGACAATATCAGCAGAAATTACAACAGCATACGCCTCAAACCGGAGGAGTTCTCATCGTACCTCACCACTGAAGTTGGCTTCACCAGTGTTGAGTACCTTGGCGCCCCCAAATGTTCAATAGGAGGTGAGCTCAACATTTTCTCACCTCACGAATAATCACAGTGACCTTTGACATTAACGCTGATGTCACATCTACTTCATGATTCCAGGTTTTCAGAGGCCGATCTACTTGTTCCACAAATGACCGCTCCTGCCTTGACGATCACTGCGTGCGTGAGTAACTGTACACGGGACGGCCAGCTGCCCTGGACTGCACAGATTCACCTCCGATCCTGAACATTTACTCCAGAGTTGCTACACATGCTACGGAAAAAACTCAAAGAAGGAGAAATGGGGCCAGGAGTCAGAGTTACTGCAAACTGATGGAACCTGGAGACATACGGCACCTCTCACGTGTTTCAATGATGAGTCATGAAATAATGACCTGAATCTGAACATCCTGATTTGACCAGACATTGGAGGACGAGCTCATCTGAACAGATTTTTTTTTTTTGGACGATCTTTGTCCTAACTTTGCTCCAGTTTGATGCACAGCCATAACAAGGTTTAAAATCTTGGGCTTTCTCTCAACTTTCCAGACTCTATTTGACATTTTTCCTTTTAGGAGATAACACTGTTCAAGTGGCCCAGTCATTACACCCTGAACTGGCAGATAAATCAGGAAAACAACACTCTCCATTTTGATCTACAAAGCCATTAAACATGTACTTGTGGCACAGTGTCTTTTTAGAAATCACACTAAGGTGCAGTCGATGCCAATGGATCCTTTAGTTATTACATTACCAGCCACTCGTGATTGGATGAGAGCTTTTAGCTGAGCTGTGCAGCATTTGGGTAGAATTTTTTTTTCCTTCAATTCATGAAAAGCCCACGTCCCATTTCCAAACCTTTGGTTTGTTTGATTTTGTAATATTCTTACAAAACTGTGGAATTCCCCTTTTTGGAAGAACTCTTTTTTTTTCTGAGACAATTAACAAAAAGGTTTATGGAAGTGAAGCTGTACACCTCCAACAACAACAGTTGCTGTGGACCTCCATTCCGAGTCAGCTGATCTCCACAGCTAAGCATCAGACAGAGCTCTGGTGTGTGATGGAGCTGTACACCTCCAACAACAACAACAGTTGCTGTGGACCTCCAACTAGATTGCGTCAAATGTCCCAAGAACATCTGGTCCACTACCGATGGTTAGTCATTGTCTGGTACGTTTACATATAGATTACAGTTTGGGGGGGCGGGGGGCCACAGGGAGGCTGACACGGCCCTTCAGCCAGACAATCACCGGTTTGCTGGTTTGATCCCGGGTCTTTCTGTATGGAGGTCACATGTTGTCTCTGTCTACGTGGGCTGCTCACTCTGGGAGCTGTGACTGAAAGTACGGAAGCAACGCAGCACTTGATGGGTCTCTGATGTGGTTTTGGAGCTCCGTCCTAGTGATAGGAGGCACGATGACCTCGGCTTCAGAGAAGGACTGACCGATGATGAGTTTCTTTTTTTTTTTCTCCCAAAGATGGGAATGGCCAAACATGTTATACTTTGTTTACAAAGTCCTCCTGACTGAAGATCAACAAAATCCAAAGTCCCTGGAGATCGGTCCAGAGCTGCGACAGTGTCGTCAGTGCTGTTTGGACGTGACGGTTTCACGGTGTCACATGGTCTGGTCATCGCAGCTGGACAGGTGCCACTTAAAACGACATCAGAATCACTTGCACTATGGTGCTTTTTTTAAAATAAAAAGCTCCTGCGTTGACGTCTGCGAGATGAAACATAAATGTACATTTTTAAAAGAGATTCTTACTAAAACAAACTGGAATCATTTTGAATATAAATATGTTGTTTATATGTTGAAGTGCTTGCCAGAACGATCTTTTTTTTTTGCGTTCAAACTGAATGGAAAACAGTGATACAGATCGGTCATCGTGGTCCTGAACTGACGGGGACTTTTATAAGTTGCAGGTCATCGGTGTTTGTGATTGTATCTTAATGATTAATGCACTGAGCAGCTCTGATTAATTACATTTCATTGGAATTGACCCAGACGTGAGATCTTCCTTTAATATGACTGGATTAGTGGTAATGTTTTGGCACACACTGGTGGAGAGGTGACAATATAATTTTTCTGTTTCTGTTTTTTATCAATGTAAAATATTTTGGAATAATTTTTCTTTGACTGTTGTTTAAATTAAGTTCACATCTGCTCTGTGTTTATTTCCAGTGGATTTGTTCTTTGTTTTGTTTTCAAATATTTGCTGCCGACGTCACGGGTTGAAGTTTTTTTTTCTGATGAAATGGATCCGTTTCAAGAGTTCTGATGTGTTTGCTCAGTTCTGTCCTGGCAGCCATTGTAAGATTAGCTCTTTATTTTTGTATAAAGTCTTTGAAAGGCGTGTTTGTGTTTTTGAATTTTTATTTCACATTATTCCAGAATGAGCTGGAAGGTAAGTTGACGTCAACCTGGTTAGCCAACGAGTAACAAACTTTCGCAAATAAAGCATGTATTGTTTTTTGTTTATTGTGTTTATATAGCAGCACTTTCAAAATAAAAGTCTGCATTATAACACAACAAAAAATTTTTTTTTTTAAATGCATCTTAACATTTGTAAAATTATAAAATTACTTTAAAAACAAAAACAAAATACTTCATGTAAACGTGATGTGGCCAACAGCCGTTCCCGTCAGTTGGGTGACAACAGACGCCCCCATGTAAACACATTTGTCAGGGGTTCATCCCTTTGTGGTCTGGTCACAGAGATGGAAACCACATAACAATGAAGGACAATACAGTGGCTCCTGTTTACAGCCTTTATCACACACGAGATTGTGTCCCAGCTGTGAACCAATCATCAACTACTGTACCATCACACCCTGGTTCATTAACCTACACAGTCAAATATGCTGACTCCCATTTGATTGCTGATGTAACAACACAGACATTACTTCATTCACTGGAACACTCCACAGGTCAGTCACATTACTGTTTGTGAGGTTTGTGATGGTGATGTATAAAAACAACAAACAGTAACAAACCAAAACTTTATTTTTCACACATTTATTGTATAATTCACAGCATTTCATAGGCTTCGATATTAGCATCGTTGCTTGGAGTCACAGCAGTCGGTTAGTAAGGTTTTATTGTGTTGCAGGAAATCCAAACGTGGGCACTCATAATATTAGGAGACCAAGAAAATACTAGGAAGGCGTCATCCTGTAGATGTCTGCATCAGTCAGCAGGGGTCACCTCTGAGTTGAAGATAGGTAAAAGATGCTACGATCGAATGGCACAGCACCTGAAAATCAAGAGAGTTATCTCTTAGTCATACTGTTGTAGGCCTAGCCTGCTGGGGGAGCTCCCATGGTGCACTGAACAACCTCTTTCCAACTACAAACAGGGCTTAGCAGATTAATTAATGCTATGATAATAACCTTGCCCCTCTGACACACACACACACCTGTATTTTCGAGGGCAGCCATGATGACCGACGCTGTACTCCTGGGCGTAGCAGAACCGTCTGCAGAGTCCTTTATACCCACATGTCCAGAACTGTGTTTCTGGATCGGCTCCTGTTGACAGTCACAGCCTTAATAATCAAATGTTTACTTGTGGGGTTTTTTTTTTCTTGTAAAAAGCAACTAAGCTTGTATTTTTTTTTTCTTGTAAAAAGCAACTAAACTCGACATGGTTTTACGATAAGTGGATTATAATGTAAATTACTCAGTGGTGAAGGTGGAAATTCTAAAATGGATATTTTCTCTTCTTACCCTCTCCGACTCCGAGCATCAGAAGAACTACCAGTAGAGCCAGGCTCAGTCCCTTCATGTTTGGGAAATAATGCAACAGTGTTCAACTATTCTGTTGACAAACCCACACTGTATTTATACAGCAGGTTTTACTCCAGTGGGCGGAGTCTACTGGGCTCCGACCAAATCCTAGTGACAACAAAGTTCCATTGAATGAATGATGTGTGTCTGTGATGAGTGTCAGCTGACTGGGCTCAGTCAACAATGGATTTTAGAGAATGTTATGATGTTGTTTTGTTTTGTTTTTTGGACGGGGTGGAGGCGTTACGCTTCAGTACAGCTCAGACTAGCTTTTCCACCTCACCAGGCCCAAATGTCCTAAATTTGCAACGATTCCATTTTTTAAAATAAATGTAAAGTTTATTAAAGTAAACACAAGTACCTGCTACGCGCTCTATATTTGTTCCGTTTATCCGTTCTATTTCTTGCCTAAAGATCAAACGAGTAACGGCAAACCAATAAAACGCATCACGACTCCGATATTTACTTTGAAAATGTCCACACAGGGGCGACAGTTGAAATATATGGTTCCGTCGCCGTGTTCTCAATAAAGCGAAGAAAAATAACCATGTGCGCGTGCGCTGAGCAGAACAACAACACTCCGTTCCGTGTCTGTCCATCATTCCAAGATGGCGGACCTCTTAGGTTCAATCTTAAAATCTATGGAGAAGCCTCCAACTGTCGGCGACCAGGAAAGCCGACGAAAAGCTAGAGGTACATTTTGAATTGTCCTTTGACGACGTAATACGTTGAGACTGTTAAAAATTAACAAATTTTATTCTTCAAGGAGTTTTATCGAACTGTAGAGGGCAGGGGGACAGGAGAGCAGCAGAGCATTGAGTAAATTCCCCGGCTACTGTCGGTTTTTAAAAGCTTTATTTCAAACTAAAGAGTATGGGTTTAGCACCGCCTGCGGTCACACACGTCTCGCCGGTTTAATCACCGAACTCAGACCGTGTGAAGTGTCCTCCCTGTGATATAATCCATCTCCCTGTATACAACCGGTGTTGTGACAAATTTCGTACACAGACACTAGAGGTCGACCGATTCTGGTTGTTTATGGCCGATGTGAATCATTGAAGGCTCTCGTTTGTTGATATATGATGCAGATTTATTTATAAAAAATAAAATCCAATTGACTTCTTCACAACACCTAAAAAAAAATATAGCTAAAACGGCGTGTCCTAATTTTATACGTTAAATAATAGATAAAACGGCGTGTCCTAATTTTATACGTCATTGTTAACACACATTAAACATGTATGCAAGTATAATTTTCGGTAAAAAGCGGGAATAAAGGGATAAAGATGAGTCTATGATTTATATTATGGATTCTAGTTTTTTTTACCTCCAGAATATTACATGTTTTTTGTAAATAACGAACTACAGAATTGAAATATAATTTACAGGTCGATTGTTCTATAGCCAGTGAACTCTGTGAGTTCTAATGGAAGGTGTTGCTACATCATTAATCCCTTTTAAATTTTTAACTTATAATTAAAAGAGCAAGTGGCAAGAATCAAGAAGATGGAGGAAGACGAGAAAAGAAAGAAGGTGGAGTTCAGGAAGAAGGTAAGAAATATCTCAGAAGTTCAATCCCTTCTGGTCCTGCATCGTTTTAATGGTGTTGACTGCCATGTTTTTGGTGTTCAGATGGAGAAAGAGGTTTCAGATTTCATTCAAGACAGTTCACAACAGAAACGAAAGTACAACCCAATGGGCAAGATTGAAAGGAGCATATTGTAAGTAGTCACTTCTTATGTCACTCATGTTTTGTGTCACATTTCCACCTCACACCCATGTATCTCTTCCTGCCTCACAGGCATGATGTTTCAGAAGTGGCTGGACTCACGTCATTCTCCTTTGGGGAGGACGAAGAGAGCCGTTACGTCATGATTTTTAAGAAGGTCTGATTTGTGTGTAATTCAGTGTTTGCTGTTTAAATCAGTTCACAGTAAGGTTCGTGTTGCGATAATAGAATTGCAGGATAAAACTCTTCTCCACCCTCTGCTGTCACAGGAGTTCGCTCCATCAGACGAGGAGCTGGAAGCTTATCGCAAAGGAGAAGAGTGGGATCCCAAACTGGCGGAAG